TCAATCCAGTACTGATGCTTTGCCTTGGCCACGAAATGCCCAAATGGCTCCTGGATTATTTGAAGATATGTAACCAAATATTTTACATATGATTGGTGGCCCCACGCCTAATTTAGATCACCTTGGAGTCACCAGGCCTGGATTTCAGGTTCTGTTCTTTTTCTTACTAGTTGCACGATCTTGGGCAAATCACTTCCTGTCGAAGAGTCAGTTTATTTTACCAATAAAGGGATTAGGTAAGACACATGGCCAGACTCTTTACCAAAACAAATACCAAATGGCCCAGAGAACTCTGGAGGTATAGTCAGCATGGTATCTTCCCAGGAAATGAATATTAAAGCCAAATGTGTACTACAGAATCCTCAGAGAGGGCTGGGGCTGCGGATCAGTGGTAGAGTGCTTGCCTAGCATGTGTGAGGCACTGGGTTTGATTCCAAGCCCCGCATATAAATAAGTAAAAAATAAAGGTCCATCGACAACTAAAAAAAGAACTGGCTTGAAAAAAAAATAATCATTGGAGAGAAAGAGGTGGGCAATCCAAAGTGCTGGGAGGGTGCGGAGCACCTGGACTCTCATTCACTGCAGATGGGGATGAAAATTGCTAAAACTGCACTGTAAAAGTGTTTGGTGGTATCTACTAAAGCTAGACTTACATATGCACAGTAATTCCCCTCCTAGGTTTATTACCTGGGGATTATGAAGATGCATTTACCAAAAAGACACCTATAAGACAGTTGAGCTGTAAGAGCCCTGAACCAGAAAATACGCAATTACCCACCAACAGTAGAGTAGATAAATAAGTTGTGTTTTTATGAAATATGAAAAACAGCATTAGTAATTAGAATGAAGAATCTACAACTAAACAAAAGAACAGAGGAAATTCATCAATATGTCAGGCGAAAAAAAGCCAGACACACAAAAATATAGTATACAGTATATGATCCCAGTTGTAGAATTAAAAGATAAACTAGACACACATACTCTCTGCAGTTGGGAATCAGGAGAGTGGCTGCCTTTGGGAAGGGTAATCATAGCTGGGGACACAAGAGACACTGTGGCACTGGTGACACACCATTCCTTGATCTGAATGCTGGTTATACAGGTGTAGCCCAAGTATGAAAAACACACAACGCGGCAGCAGAATACAATAGACACTAGTATGGCAGTATGTAAAAAAGTGGATGTGTAACCAATGTGAATCTGCAATATGTATACGGGGTAAAAATGGGAGTTCATAATCTGCTTGAATCAAATGTATGAAATATGATATGTCAAGAGCTTTGTAATGTTTTGAACAACTAATAATAAAAAAAGTGAAAAAAAAAAAGAAAAACACACAACGCTGTATACATCTGATATATTCAGTTTTCCGAATGCTTATTATGCTGCAAAATTTTGTTTGTTTAAGCAAGATTGTTGGGTTACGTAGAGCTTCTTTAAGGTCTTTTCTGGCTTTGGCTGGAATGACAACTACCATCATCCCACTGGACACTAAGCTAAGTGATTTCCATGTAACCTCTCAGGTCCTGTCCATTGTCCTCTGAGGTAGGCCTATGGTGAAGACACTGAGGCACAAGGACATCAGTAACTTGCCAAAGTCATGTATGCCTTGAAGGGTGGAAGAGGCTCGACCAGCCTGGCTGGGGCCAGCCACATTGTGGGCACCACAATCTCCCACCTCAACCCTCAACTTTAATCCTTGTGAACCAGGAAGTGTTGGGGTGTCGCTCAGAGTGAAGCTGCTACCTGACACTAGGGCCTTCACTATCCTGTCCCCTTGTAACCTGAGAAGCTTTCCTCCATGTCTAAGACACTTTTTCTTTCCCTGAATCCATGTCACTGACCATAGGATGAAATTAGAATTTTAAGTGCACCTAGGACTGGGCACAGTGGCACATGCCTATAATCCCAGCCACTTGGGGAGTTGAGGCAAGAGGATTGCAAGTTAGGGGCCAACCTCAGGAACTTAGCAAGGCCCTGTCTCAAAATAAAAAATAGAAAGGGCTGGGGATGTAGCTGAGTGTAAATCATCCCTGGGTTCAATTTCTAGTACCAAATATATAAATAATATAAATAAATAAATAAATGCATTTGGCATTTATTGAAGTATTTCTTGTATTACTCAAAAATTTAAAAACTAGTCAAATCAGTTCTGAAGAGTTATTTTTAAAATGACAAACACGGTAATCTAATTAAAAAATCTGTGATCTTGCTTTACTTTTGCTACAAAAATGGCCCTAATGCATGTCTGTATAAACTGCATGCAAAAGTAGCTATTCTGTGTGTATCTAGCTGCAGTCCAGAAAGGTGGTTTAAGAAAGAACTCTGTGAGTGCTAGCTGGTGGGAGAGAAGTACATATATAGATCCTCTGATAATAATAATATTTAATAATTATAAGGTTATTAAATAGTGCCAGGCTTGGTGGAGCATGCCTGTAACCCCAGCTACTCCAGAGGCTGAGGCGGGAGATGGCAAGTTCAAGGCCAGCCTCTGCAACTTGGCGATATCCTGTCTCAAAATTTTAAAAGGAGCAGGAGCAGTGGAGGGGTTGGGGGGATGCCTAGGGATGTAGCTCAGTGATAGGGTGCCTCTGGTTTCAGTCCTCAGTACCTCCAAAAAAGAAGGGAGGGTTTACCAATAGAGAGCAAGAAATAAACAAGAAAGCATTACAAAAAAGAATTTATTAGGCTGACACACCAATAGAATGAGTCTAAGGATTTGATTGCAAAGCCAAACCCTAATGTTAAAGCAGCAGAAGTTGAAAGTCACACACCTCAAGGACCACTCTGTGACCATTTGTGGAAGGGAGAACAGTCTGCACACAGACACACCTCCCTCCCTCTCCACTCCCTCTCTTCAGCTGCAGTCGGATTCTGGTACCTGAGAGGACTGGAATGAAATGCTTCCCACTTATTACAGAAAATACAGATCTGGCCTCCATGTGCTTGAATTGCTGGTTCCTAGGCATGGAATGTTGCTTTTGAGAAGCCAACAAATAGTTATCGGAAGAGCATTTACCCATATGTGAAGTTAATAGAAATTATATTCTCAATTACAGTAATTGCATTTTTAATCTCATCTGGCACCAACTGTCCTTTAGAAAGTCATAATGTTTTGTTTGGGGACATTCTTCTTTAGAATAGAAGGAAAAATCTAATTAGCAAATAACACATAAATAACACAAACTCTCAAATCTCATGAGAGTCTTAATTTAAGTCAGGAAAAAGGGGGAAAATTTTCTATCCTTCCTGATAATAATAGAACTAGATATTTCAAGATTATAGTATCATGGAGTGAGTGTTCACATTACCAAACAGTGTGCTTTTACTTTGAAGACAGTACTCATTAAATGTAATTACTAGTGGTATAGGCTACCAAGAAATAGCAAGGAATAGTCCCCATACTGATATCAACTGGCCTGAAGCAATCAAAGTGAGAATGAAGAATACATGGCATAGAGCTGGGGCCACCGGGGTTTCTGAGATGTGGCTTCAAGATCATATCACATAGAACACTAATGCAGAGGTATTCCAAACAACACTGGCAAAGAAATTTTATAGAAAAGGTAATTTTTAAAGGGTGACAATAAAAGCAGCAGTTAGAACGCACGTATTAAGTCTTTACCTCAGTTGAGTCCTTTACAAACAAGAGATTAGCCTCCATGTAGCCCTTTACACTCAGTAAGTATATATATAATTTTTCCCCAGCCTCTTTTGCTTGGTTCACCATCATGGAGAATCTATTTAGAACAGGAATTATTTTCAAGTCAGAATCTTAGATGAAGATCAAAAAATGTTAAGTTTGTGCTTTAAAAAAAAAAAAAAAAACAGTCCACGAGCCAGGCGCGATGGCGCATGCCTGTAATCCCAGCGGCTCGGGAGGCTGAGGCAGGAGGTTTTTGAGTTCAAAGCCAGCCTCTGCAACAGCGAGGTGCTAAGCAACTCAGTGAGACCCTGTCTCTAAATAAAATACAAAACAGGGCTGGAGATGGGGCTCAGTGGTAAAGTGCCCCTGAGTTCAATCCCCAGTAGCAAAAAAATGAAATAAAATAAAAAGACTTAAGTTTGTATCAAACACTGCACATCAAAATAGTCGGACTGACATGGATTTCATGATTTCCGTGGCCCATCATTCCCTTCATTATCCTATTTACGGACCTCTGCTGTGGCTTGTCCAAGCTGTTCTCAAAACCTGCAGTACATGGCAGCCAACCGGTCTTCTTCAGCAGGCAAGTCTAGCCAAAATACTGCAGGACTTTTCCTACCACAGACTTCTGGCCTGCTCAGAAAAATAAAGTACCCATTCTCCCGAAAATAACCTGTGCGGTCTGTTAGAAACAGCGCTATGCCCAAATCCGAATCTCAAATGAAGACCTAGAGATGTTGTTTTATGCATTTTAAAAATAGACCACTCTGCTGCGGCAGTGTGTGCGCCCTGGGCCCCGCTCTCTCCAGCTTTGTTCGGACTCTGGATCTGAGCCAAAACCAAGTATCACGAGGGAAGCACTGAGCTGGGAAGAGGGAAAGCCCCTCCCTGCTGAGTGGGCTGGAACTTAGAAGACTCCATGCTAGGTGTGAGCTATGGCACTGGTAGTCTTCACCCCCTCCCTTCTCCATCTGGCAACTCGGTTAGCCCAGCACCTAATATCCTGACTCTTAAAAGAGAGCCCTTGAACTGCATTAAACCTGACGGAAAGTGAAGAGCAAGGTCTAGAAACGGAGAGATTTTAGGAGTCGGGAAACTTCCCGACCCCTTGGTGGCCCGCGTGTAGTCTGGGGTCTACTTCGCTGGAAGAGCTGCAGCTCGCCGACAAGCAGCTTCTCCCCGCCCTCTGGTGGCAAGTCCCGCAGCTGGAAGGGAAGGGGCGCGCAGACACCTGTGCACCAGGAGGGGGCGGTCCGTGCACGCCCGAGCCCCTCTAAAGTGAGGGGGGGGGGCACACCACGATGCCAATCACTCGTGAACCCCTGCCAAGCTGCGAGCACTGGAGACTACGGGTTCATAGATGCGGGGCGTAGAATGGGGTCAAGTAGGAGGGCCCCAGAAAGGGCGCGAAGGGGGTCCCGGTGGCGGACAAGGGGAAGGAGGCGGCAGCGGTGGCGGCCGGGAAGAGGACGTTGGCTGCGGAGTAGGAGGGGAAAGTCTGGAAGGAAAGAGTGCCGGGGCCTGGGGGTCCGGGACTGCCTCCTGTACCGCTGCCCCCTGCCGCTCCCGGCGTCCCAGGCTGAGGCGCACCGCCGCCCCCTTGCGCCGCGCCGTCGGCGCCCGGGTTCTGCTTCTTCCACTTGGTCCTGCGGTTCTGGAACCAGATTTTGACCTGTGTCTCAGTGAGGCTGAGCGACAGAGCTAGGTTCAGACGCTCGCACACCGACAGGTAGCGCGTGGACCGGAACTTGTTCTCCAAGGCCACCAGCTGCTCGTAGGTGAAGGCGGTGCGCGCTCGCCGCGGCTTGGCGCAGCTGGGCTCAGCTCGCCGGCGCCGAGGCCTCGGGGAACCAGGAGAGCTGGGACAGCCGATGAGGGCGCCTTCGCCGTCCGCTTTGCTCTCTCCACCCGCCAACACCGCCGCCCGGACCTCGGAGGGGCGCGCGGGGCCCACCAGAGCGCGCGCAGGTCCCGAGTCCTCTGCGTCCTCCTCTTCCTCTTCGGCCTCGGAACCCTCAAGGGGGGACGCTGGACCGGCGCCTTGGCCAGTAGTATCTAAGGGAGAAGGGGGAGGTTACCAGAAGCCCGGAACGACCTGGCCCTAAACCTCTTCCTGAGAGCATTCAGCTCTCCCCTTAAAACAACCCCCAGTTCCGTGCCCTTCCACACATCATGCTCCGCTATTCGCGAAAGCACATTCTCATAAGCAGATTTAGGGGTACGGTGTCCTGTTGCCCTTTACAAATCTGCAACCAAGTAAGCATCCAAGAAGTATGTGTTGAATGAATGGCACTCAACCCGCATCAAGAAAGAACAGTGACCTTTTGGGGAAGTGGTTGTACATGAAGACCTCGAGGCGTTGAGGCGTCGAGTGCGTTTAGGGCAGCGTCTCCCCAGTCCCTAGAAGCCTATTTTGGTGCGGGACTCCTAGCAATTAAAGAAGAAGTTATTAAGCCCTCCACCTCCCCCCACCCCGCTTTAAGGTGAAATTCCCCCTTTCCCATCTTCTCTCTCCTGCCGTGTTAATAGAGTTTCAGATTTGTGCGGGGCCAGATCGATAGATGTCATCTATTAAAGGTAAGTTTTAATCGAACAATATTAGGATCAGACAGGGAAAGGGGGTTTGAAGTCGGTACCTGCAAGCTGCGGGCAGGAGATATGCAGGCGCCAGTAATAGAATATCGATCAAGGGGATGGGGGAAGGGGAGCTCGGCCCCTCCGAGAGACGATCCGAACAATTACCAGGCCGGTAGCCCGGGCCAAGCGCGGCCGCCAGAGGCGCCAGGGGCCCCAGACAATCACCACCAAACTTGGAGACAGGAGCAGGAGGTTGGGAGGCATTCAGCCTCCTCAGAGACCTGACTGTGGGCATCCCTCCAGGGAATCTCATACCCACGTCCCAGCCAGTACGAGTCTTTCTGTCTTTCCTCCTTCTTTCCACCCACAAACTTTCCTAGACCCTTCCTCAGGTGTCCACCAATGTCAGGGGTTAAATCAAAAAGGGTTTCCAGGAAAAAGTACTAAAAGCTTCCCATCATCGAGGCCCTGCTCCCAGTCCCAGTCCACAGTTGGGTCTGGAGTGTTAAGAAATAGGCGCCTGTTTACTCACTGAGATCCCAGACACAGGCCATGGCCTCAGTTCTCACATCCATAAAATGGGATGATGTTAACGATGCTGTCTACCTCAAAGATTTCAAACCTTCATTACCTTAATCCCAGCTCCTAGTCCAGGTTCTAGCACGTGAGGAGCACATTCAATGCCTGTTAAATGAGTGAGCCTGGCAAGGTTAGGTGTTAGTTTTCACTGCAAGCAATCAGAGCTATGGTGCTCACCCGCTTGACAGGTATACGGGGATAAGGTTTCCAGGTGCCCCCGAATTCAGGTAGCCTCCTCTCGGCCTCAACCGTATTCCGAGGCGGGGATGGGGGGCACACGTCCCACCTGCTCCGGTCCGCCTTCTCTCTTTCAGAAGGCGCGGTTAAGGAACCATTCACCAGGCCCTGGCTCTCCAGCCGCCCCACCCCATACCCCGCGACTTACAAGCCCTGTACATCACTTGGGCTGGGATCGCCTCGCATTCTTACCAAAGGTCTCCTGCTGTCGGACCCGGTTCCCAGGTCTGGTGTCCTTCCCGGCTTCGACCTCCGCCAAACTTTTCTTGGCTTCCCGGGGAGCGAGGCGCGCGGCGGGGAGCGCAGTGCGGGTGAACTTCTGCGGGTCCAAAATATCCAGGACCGAGAAGGAGATCTTGTGGTGGGAGGGAGCCGCCTTGGCCCCTCCGTCCTGCCATGCCAGCATACCCGCAGCCCGCGGGCCGCCCGGCGGTGCCGGGTCGGGGATGGTGGTGCTCTGGCTTGCCTTGGCTGTAGCTCGGCCGCAGCTCTCTAAGCGCGAATCCGGTTTGCTTGGCCAAGTGAAGCTGGGGAGGGGAGCGGGGAGGCGGGGCGGGAAGAGAGCCCCGGGGGGCTGCGCGCGGATTGGCACTTGCGCGGCCCAGGCCCCGCCACGTGCAGGTCGCGCTAGCAGCAGCCTCAGGTCTAGCCCTAGCCACCGGCGCTGCTCTGGGCTAGCCAGAGATGCCGGCGCCGGTGCGCGCGCCCGGCCCGCGAGGATACCGAGCCTCCGCCCCACCCGCAGAGACTTCTGCAAGTGCGCTAGGGAAGCTTTCACCCCGCACATCTCCGCTATTCACACAAACACCTCTGACTTGAAACTGCTGCGCTTTCTCCTGTGCACCTGCCTTTGACTTGGAAACGACCCCTCCCGCCCCACCTGTGATCCACAGGAATAACTTCAGACCCATTTGCCTCCTATTTTAAAACCCTTCTGTTCTCACGGTTTACAGTTTACCAAGCCCTTGGACTTTCTAGATCTTTCGATTCCTTGAGAATCCCCGTGAGGTGGGCGTGACCTGGCTCAGACTATCATCCTGTTTTAAAGATGAGGAAATTGAGATCCAAAGTAAGCAGTGATCTATCTGCCCAGGGTCTCCGTTAGTTGATGACAGAGTCTGAGCTAGACCAGTGGGGTTTTTTGTTTGTTTGTTTTTGCTTTTGTTTTTCAGTAAAATCCTGCACCACAAAAAAAAATCGTGTCTTTCCCGTCCACCTAGGGGAGGAACAGGGTAAGAGAGCAGCAAGGGTTTGGGGTAGGGGCCCCTCCTCTGCCAGGCAGGTTGCGGGCTCAGGGCCAGGTGAGACCCTAGTTTATGTGACTGCTAGCACAAGCTTTGATGCCCCCGGTGGGACGCTCTTTCCAGATGCCATCATTTGCATCAGAAATTGTGTCTAGGGGAATAGGCTGCTTCGCTGACCCACATCCTCTCCCAGCCCCAAGAAGGGAAAGGTTAAAAAATACCTGTCTGGTTTGAATTTAAGATCAAAGAGAGACTGTTGAAAAGGCCCCCTTCTGCCCCTTAAGCCCCGCCCCGCGGCCGCGGGCTGCTACGCGGAGGGAGGCTTCACCAGCCACACCCTGCTAACATTCCTTCTTTTGTCATTTGCAGTCCCCGAGCACTAGGCATTTATTTCAGCGGCAAATTCTGAGGCTTTCCTAGACCTCCGCCCACAGCTACTTCTAACTCTGCTGCTCCTTTCTTCCCGGCCCCATGCGGTTTCCAAACAATGACTCGGCAATTAATATTGTCTGAGCAGGTAAGAAGTAGGAAGAGGAGGAGAAACCTTCTCATTAAAGTGCTGGGGGCCGCTAATCCCATGTGTTATTGAAGAGGAGTCCAGAGAGGCCCGCTCCTGGTAGCTTTTCTCATTCAAACCTCTCGGCCCCTCCCAGAGGTGGCCACTGTATTCCCTGCGGACTTTAAAGCCCTGCCGAAATTCACGCTCGCTCCAGTCCTGAAGTGCAAATGGATGTGCTTTTAAAGCTCGGGGAAAGGAAGTGCCTTTCCCAAGCCCACGGGCCCACCCCCTGCCAAGGGAACACACACCTCGTGAAACCCAGAGAAAAGACAACCTGGAACTAAAAGGCAGCACCCAGGACCCGTAAACCCAGACCCTTCCCCAATACACATAGGGTACGTTTTCTGTTTAGACAACGCTTTCTCGCCCAATTCTCACTTGTCCTTCCCCCGCTTTTTTCTTTTCCCTCCCCTACTGATCCTGGCCCCTTCTCCCTTTTCGGTCCCCTTATTATATGGATTGTTGTGCTTAGATTCTTCTGAGTAGCTGGGAGACTTAGGAATAGGTCTCCATCAGGTTACTCCAGAATAGAAAGAGTGAATGTGGCTTCCCAGAGTCCCTCCTCTTCCTCTGCCCCTGAAGAAACCCCAAGACAATTTCACAGCATGGTGGTCTGGCATTCCAGACCCAAAGGAGAGGGACCAGGAAGGCCCCAGCCTTCCCAGGGATCCTCTGAGTACATCTTACAAATAGCCTCAAAAATTTTTTCTGAATATTTTATTTGATAAGACTCACCTTGAAGTCTACAGGTGTGGAATATAGGAAAGAAGCCAAAAAAGGAGAAGCAACAAATCAGAGAGGAAGTCAAGAACATATGGAGACCCTAGCCTTTAAATCTGTGAATCCTTAAGAATGCTTTCTTTTCATGATTGTTAAATTCTCCTTGCCCTTAGTTTTTCCAACATTTCTCATGTGTGCTCAGTGGAGCACAAGGCTGTCCTCACCTAATGCTCAGTACTTGGCTTCTGGCAACAGAGGACACACAAGAGACACAGGTGTGTCCCCCACAAACATCAGAGGAATAGAAATGCTCTCTTACTCACCCAGCCTAGAGAGAACCCCACCCCTAATCATAAGGAAGAGTGGACGCAGAGAGGCTGAGGGGATTCATTTTCTGGCCATCTGCTTTGTAATGGACCAGGAGGCAGTGAGGCCTCCCTTCAGGTATGATTTGGAGAGGTGTCTGACCTTTAGCACCCTTGCACATGTATTTACATCCAGGTGTCCCCAGTAACACACTCATGCACATCCAGTGAGCCACCTTCCATCTGTGCACGGAGTTGATTTGTTTTCTTCAGCATAGGCATTAAAATTCTGCCTGAGTGCTGTCTTTAAATTGCCTTGATGCTAGGTGGGTTCCAACCCTGACCTGTCCTGATGGCAAGTGATGGCTATAACAAGCTTGGGATCAATATTCATAGCGGGTGTCCTGGGCTGATAACACTATCCAAGACAATGTTCGCTATCAGTGTGGACAGCTGAGATATTGTGCCATTAGGGATGTTGTGTTAAATAACCTGATCCATTTCTGGGGCTATTTAATGAATTTCACAGTTTAGATAGTATCTTTAAGGAGAAGGCAAAGGCTATTCCGGAGGCACTGATGCAAATCAATGGTGCCAAGCTTCCCGAGCTATTGCACAAACAAAGTGGCCTATAATTCCAGCAGAGCCTTGAGGAGCTGCTGCCCGCACCGGGAGCAGTGCTAACAATGGAAAGCGTGTGCAGTTTATGCCGAGGGAGGGCCATATTATGAGCTTCAGGAAAGCGCCTTAGATAAAATCTTATGTTCCTGAAATAAAACACAACTGGAATTCTCTAGGTAAAACCCCTTGGTTTGAGCTGGCCTTCAGGGCAAGACAGATATGACAAAGTGACAGCTTCATAAGGCACAATTCGGTGACAAGGGGAGGGATATGTAGACGCCTATGGGTGTCCCCTTTACTCAGGGCCTCAGCCAGTTCTCCCCAAAATGGGCTTCACCAACTCCACTCTGTGTATAAAATGGGAGGCACTGGGTGTTAAAAGGGAACTGCTGACAGTGGAATCAGTTGTTTGTTTACTGACTCCAGATCCTTATTGCTGCTACCTTCGTTTACAATTAAAGGCTAGCATTTACCATTTCCCCCCAGAGCTTTGAACAACCCCAGCCACCAAGCAGAGCAAGTATTCCTTTTAAAAACTCACCCCAGAGACTTTGATTTGTGAAAGCTGAGTTCAAAGTGAAGCCTTCCGTCCTGTCCCCAAACTGCAAACACAATGAAAATGTTAACTCAACATATTTCACTTAAAAAAAAAAATCAGTATGTCTTCTTGGAAATCAACATCTTTATCTTAAAAAATCCAGAGGAAGCATCAACGAAGGTGAGGAAGCAATAGGGGCTGTTGATAAGTAGAACACGTGTTCATTGGTCCCAGTGAGGATCCACGTTAGTAATAATAGCTGCTCATTCTGGGCAGTTGCTCTGGGACCAGTCCTGGACTCAGCTCTTTCATGTGTTATTCATGAATCCTCCCCACACCCCTCCAGCAGGTCCTATTATCCCCAATTTACAGTTGAGGAAAGGAGTCCAGAAAGGTCAAGAGACATGCCCATACCCCAGAGCTAGAAAATGGTGGAGCTGAGATTTGACCCCAGACAGTGAGATTTCAGAGCCCTTTTCTGGAAAGTTCTTTTTCGGGAAAGTTGAATTCCTGCTTCAGGATAAACCCTACCTGCAGACTCTTATCAAATAGCTTTTCCTTAAAAGTTACAGACATAGCTATGTAAGCAATCTCTGAAATAGTTTAGCGAGCCCACACACTGCCTCGAAGTGGACAGTGGGGCCAGCTTTGCTCTTAAATTCAGTGTTTTCTGATGTTTTAAGATATCCCCAGGAGGAGCCTGAGGAAAGGGAATGGCCAGGCAAGTCGAATTGCACTGGTCATCTAGAAAGGTAGAGAAATGTGTGACAGCCAAGGTCCAGACCTGTTTCTGAAACATTTTGAATTCATTGCGAGTGTTTAAAACTTTGCAGATATCACATAACAATCCAGACTTTCTTCTGGCCTGTATGAAGATCTGGCAGTGCTGACTAGCAGACCTCCAAGGTCACTGTTTACCAGTTAGGTAGCAAGCAGCACCCTCTAGTCTGTTAGGGTCCTTGCCCAGCTGGCTTCACTCCTTTAGGACATAGTCTGGCCTTCCGAGGGCTGGGGTCTGCACACCCAAGCAAAGCAAGCGGACTCTGTGGACAGTAAGGCTGCAGGCAGGAAGGCCAGGGAGAAGTGAAGGCCTGGAATCTAGATGCAGATTCAGGGAGCAGAGGGCTTTGACTTCTGCTCAGCCCATCCACTGTTCATGGCATTTCAGTGGCTACTATGGTCCACGGGATGCAGACTACATGCTTCAGCATGGCCCACAAGGTTCTTCAAGATCTGACCCACTGCCTGCACAGCCGTGGTCCCTGGACAGGCCACACTCCAGTGACCATGCATCAGTCCCCGGCCCATGCATGCCATCTTCTCAAAAGCTCTGCCTTAATGTATGTGCCACAGCGCGTGGAGGCACCTGACCACTGGTGGTCTATTCCTGGGCTGCCTAATGACCAGACTGGTATGGTC